CCCAGGGCCACCTTGTCCTCAGCACACAGCCCCCCCACCCAGGGCCACCTTGTCCTCAGCACATAGCCTGCCCCCGGGGCCACCCTGACCTCAGCACAGCTGCACCCTCACTAGATAGGTGCACAAGCCAGTTCTCACACACAGCGACCTTCCCTTGACAGTTTTGGAAAGCTGTACCCCGGTAAGGAGCCCTAGTAGCACAATGGTCAAGCACTTAGCTACTAAGTAAAAGGTCAGTGGTTCAAACTCACCAGTCTATCTGCAGGAGAAAAAACCTGGCAACCTGCTCCTATAAAGACGACAGGCTTGGAAACCCCACGGGGGCGGTTCCACCCTGAGTTCTAATGCTGTGAACCGGAACTGACTCAACAGCACCCAGCAGCCTGACTGCCGGCCACGGGCACAGGCACTCAGCACCGGCTTTAATACTAACTGCGCAGAACTCCACCTGGCCACCTTCTGCAGCCGAACCACGAAGCCAGAACACCCATGCCTGCGGAGTGCTCCCCTACAGCTAACGCTCCACATACAAAAACCTGACCAGAGAGGTATTGTGTTCACACAGAATCGGCACGCTAGAACTTGTAACTGAAACCTATTCTCTGAAGGCACGTATCTTTGTCTCACTGGTGGAGACGTCACACAGTGTAGCCGTCTTGAGCTCCTTTTCAGAACCGTCTTTCCAGCCAACAGACAGAACACAAGACATGAAGGCACGGCAGCACCCTCGGCCCGGGCTTCCAGCCCCTTGTCTGAGCTGGGAAGAAGCACATGAGCGAGGCCACAGTCCCACGACTGCTGGCCACCAGAGCTAGAAGGGACACTGAGGAACCATGGGGCCGAACGGTGCCGCACTAATTGATCCAAGTGAACTGACCCCGGCTGAGGACAGCAGGGGCCCAGGAGCTCACCAGGGCCTACAATCACTGATCCCCAACAACCACACGAGTGAGGCACTCACATGAAATGCTGCAACAAAAAAGGTCAAAGCCAAGAAGTACAGGTTGGTGTCTACAAAAATGCCTTTCACTTCATCAGCATCCTTCTCTGAAAACCCTGCAAAGGAAAAACATATGTTGTAATATGAAATGGATAATTTTACTTAAGATTTGCCTACTATTACAAACTTATTTTACTATGTAAAAAATTATTCAAATCTTGTTAAAAGTTCATTGACCAAAATCGTGGCATTTCAGCTATGAGCTTCTGAATAAAGAAACACTTCAGGTAACTGCCAAGCATGTTCTCACAGCATAAAATAGCAGCAAGATCCCGGCGAGCTCCCTTATCAGAGTCACAGGGAGAAGCCGCCCTGAAGTACCAGGCTGCTCAGTCTGTGAAGACGTAAATAAGGGTCGGCCCTGAACGAGTCCTCAGTAAATAAAATGAAACCAAAGGCAGCTTTCATCTGCTGGTCTACGTTCAAACAAAAGTTTCCTTCAAGCTGCCTGCAACGTGGCCAGCTGAGGCCGGGTGTCCGGCACGGCGGACGCACCGAACTGCTGCAGGGAGTACACGGCGTCCTGCATGTGGATCCAGAAGCGCAGCTTGCCCAGCGAGATCTTGTCGTAGGACACAGTGAGCGGCAGCTCCGTGGTGGAGCGGTTTATGACCTAGAAGGAAGAACAGTAAATACTGCCCAGTCCAGAAATCACCGCTGAAGCCTCTAGGGGAACAGTGCATGTCCTCCACCGTCACCCTCGACAGCCCTCACTCCTGACCACATGGCCTGCCTCCAACCTCTCTGCTCCCATGCACTGTGCAGCCCTGGCCTGAGGGCTTGACATACAACAGTCACCACCTCAGGGGTGTCACCGTGGCTCTGCTCAGCCTGCAGTCTACTCAAGTCACAGTTCCAAGATGGGTCCCTTTCCATCAGCCCTGAGACGGCAATCCCAGCCTCCCCTCTCTCCGTCTCCCTGCATCCCGTCACACAGTCATCTCAAACAAAGCTGGTGTCCGCCTGCATGCTCACAGCCTCTCTCCCGAATGAAATGCTCCCCGTCCTCCTCTCCACCTCCCCGAACCCTATGCGTCTCTTCAGACCCGCATCCCTGTGCGAGCACAGCATTCCCCTGCCCGCTCTGCCTTGTGTCACTCTGTCAGCACCACAACAGGCCCTGCATGTCCAGCCAGCATCTGCTAAGAGCCTGCTGGGTAGAGGGCACTGAGCTGAGGGCAGGGGCTTAGCCCGAGCCCAAGGGAGCCGCTGGCCCTTTCCTGGAAGAACCGGAACCTGAGGAGCCACTGCACCTTCCCTGAAAGAACTGAACAGGGGGCCGTGGTGCTTCAGGAGCAGAGTTCTTCCTTTCTACGAGGAAGGCCTAAGTTTGATTCTGGGCCACTGCACCTCACGTGCAGCCATGCTTGTCCACGGCGGCTCATGTGTTGTTACGATGCTGAACCGTTTCAGTGGAGTTTCTAGACAGAGAAAGACCAGGAAGAAAAGCCTGGAGATCTCCTCCAACAGTGGGAGCTGCAACTGACCGAGGGGCTGATGCAGGACCGGGCAGCACTGCACTCACGGGCACGGGGTCACTCTGAGTCGGGGTGGACCTGAAGGCCGCTAACAACTGAACCCAAACAAACTCACCTGTCAAAAAGGACAGTGATGACCCACAATACACAGGACTTTCAAAAGGTATTTGTAAAGGGCTCAGCACACATACTAAGTGCCCAGCCGGCTGACCATTAACCAGCACTACTGACATTATCGTGCATTTCATTTCCCCTAACGGCCCAGAGAGCCGGGGCTGCTGCTGCCACGGCAGAAACAAGAGTATGAGAGCTGGAAGGGGGCTGCAGCCATGAAGCAGGAACAGTGTCCGTGCCCCCAGCACAGCCCAACCCTGCCCACGGGCCTCCGAGGCTCCGCCTATGCACGCAGTGTGGCTCAGGCACAGCCAACTCTCCTGCTCCGGCCCCACCGTGCAGGCCCAGCCCTGGGGGAAGCAGGCACCTGCTGAGGACGATGCTCAATTAACCCACACCTTCTGCCCAGGAATTAAGAAGAAACCGGACAAACATTCATAACCTGTTTCAAATAATGTGCTGTCCCTTCCACGAGGTCTCAGTAGCCAGCCGCCCAAAGGATGAAGTAAGTGTCTCCAGGTCCATTTTGTCCCTGAGGACACTGAGGATCCTGGGAGGTGCGTGGCTGGTCAAGATCCCCGAGCCAGCAAGCAGCGCGCAGACCATGAGGTCTTCTGGCAGCCACCCCAGCACAGCCCTCACACTCTAAAAGCAGCACCCTCCACTCTGTGGGAAAGGCATGCACCCAGGTTTGGAAACAATCCCACGACTATTTGTGCCAGGACTAAGGAGATGGCGCCGGATGCACATCCACATCTGACTAGTCTACCGCAGAGCACTGCAGATCACGGTATTTTAAAAAGAAACCCTCTTACCATCAAATCCTTCACTCGGTTGCTCAGCTGGTCGATGAACAGGATGGGGAGGTAATGGACAGTTTTTCCTAACTGGATCCTGTGATATTAAAACAGTGTAAGTGGGCATGAATACTGTCACCTTAGAAAAACAGTATGAGCCCAAGAAACGGGACTCCCCCAGTAGGAATGCTACCACTGTCTGAACTGCTTGTCAGTCACAATAACCCCAGGCCATACTCCTCCCAGACCAAAGCACAGGAATCCAATAACGTGCACCCATCAGAGACACTCCTCATTCCCTGTAACAGCCGTAGCAAAAGACAGGGAAGAACCAGCAGGTGAGAGGTTCACTACACTGTGAGACAACTTTACACAGGAAACTCATCACAACCGTTAAAAAAGGGACTGACAAAACTACTATGTACTGATACATATGGAACAATTGTCCATGGAAGCAGCAGCCAAAAAGTCAAAGAACACACTGCACTGGGTCAACATGCTGCAAAAGACCTCCCTGAAGTGTTAAAAAGCAAAGATACTACTTTGATGACTAATGCATGCCTAACCCAGGCCATATCTATCCACCTCTTCTTAGGTATGTGAAATCTGGATAAAGAAAAAAGGAAGATCGCAGAACTGAGGCATTCGAACTGTGGTGTTGACAAGAACACCGAACAGACAAATCAGCCTCAGAAGAAATACACCCAGAACGCTCCTTAGAAGTGTGACACCTCAGCTCGCTGACTTTGAAAACATCACCAGGAAAGACCAAGGACAATCATTTAACATAAGGCTCCCCCAAATATGGGAGACACAGGGTAATTTAAGTTGGTCTAACGTTTGAATTTCAACAGTTACATTTAACTAATAATGATGAGCAATTCTAAAGTCATGATCTAAAGATAAATTTTTAGTGTATTTAGATAAGTTTGTAACAACACAGGAGGCTAATACCCAGAATTGTTGGCTCGGGGTAGAGGCAGAGTTGGGCGAAGTGATTCCAGTTTACAAAACTATGATCTCCCAGTGCTGTCCATCATCACCACATGGACACTTTCACAAGGGCAAAGGGGAAGAGGCAGTGGTTCACATTTCCTTCCCTTGCCTCCCAACTTCCTGGTGACCATCTTGGTCAGTTCACCCACCAGACGGAGGAACTTTGTGCATCAGGCACCTGCCTTCCGGCCCCAATGGCACAGGACCTGAACACAGTTCCATCTTAGGGGCACAGATGTGATCCAGCCACCTCTGGACTTTAGTCAGCTGTAGTTCAGTTGGCTTCCCATTCCATCAAAGGAGGGGTCACCTCCCTTGCCATCAATTCAGGGAACCATGCCAGTGAGCTTCAGGCTGGCAACCCAATACTCGCTATTCCAGAATCTCCCTTCCACAGTGCCAGTTGGTCACAAGCAGGACAGGTGTCACTTACATCTTCATGTAGCGATGCACATCGGCAGGGAGAGAGGACCCGTCAAAGACAAAGTCATCCACCATCACGTTCAGTGTCAGCCTTGGCCGCCAGTGAGCAACAGGCTCGTCCAAGGCACTGGTCTGCTTCCTTTCAGCTTCGATTTGCTGTTACATGAAACGAAGGATTTATTAGGAAGAAGGAGACGAACACTGTCAGAAAGGGCAGCAGGTCAGCACCTTAACTTTGGACCGGCCTGGGCGTCCTGACCAACCCAACTAGGGAAAGAAGAGCTGGGTGTGAGGGGGTCATGGGCAGCCCTGTGGTTGCCAATTACCTTCCCCCCACTTCCATCTCTCAACAGAAGCCAAGTGGTGCTATTCCTGTCACAGGTGCTCACTGATCTCCCAGGCCCTTTTCTAAATGCTCACCCTAAGGAGGCCCACTTCTCAGGACATTTGTAGACTTCACAAATCTGGACATAAACACCACTATAATTTTAAAGCAGCTCTGGTAGTGTAGCCGCTAGAGCAGTAGGCTTCGAACCAAAAAGATGGTGGTTCAAACCCACCAGGTGCTCCACAGGAGAAAAGATGGGGCTATCTGCTTCCCTAAAGGCTGACAGCCTAGGAACTCCTATGGGGTCATTCTACTGTGTCCTATAGGGTTGTTGAGTTGGAATCAATTCGATGGCAGTGGGTTTGGCTGGATGCTGATATATAAGAACACTGGAAAGACTGCTTCTAAACCAAGTCCTTCCTCAAAAAAAGCCAATCCAGAAGAGAGAGTCAAAGGGGAAAATCTCAGTTCGTTTCAGGTCCACCTGAGTGCTCAGACAGAACAGTCTCATTGTACTGATCTGCTGGCAGGTGCAATTCAGCAACACGAGACTTCCCTCCTCTGACCCACAGCCCCTCAACAATCAATGCTGTGATTCTGTTTTCCTTTGCACATAGAATTTTCTACAGATGCATAAAATCTAATTTATACACACACCCTTCTCATAATTTAAAATTATACTCTTAGAATAAGCATTCAAGAATTGTCTAGCCCCAAGCTGCCATCTAGATGCAACAATGGGTCTCTCCTCGTCGAGAAGAAGAAAATCAAAATTAATGGAAACAATCAGTCCTAGCGACTGGTACACCATCCGATCTGCAACCTATACAACTATGAGACCAGAAGAATTAGATGGTGCCCAGCTACCACTGCCATCCACTTGGAAGGGATGTAGGAGATCCTACATAAAGAGGGAGAACAATGTGGTACAAAACTCAAAATCATTTGGAGGCAAAAAAAAAAAAAAAAAAAAGGTGGGGACCAGGTTGCTGGTCCAATAGAGCCTGGTGGAACCACTGAGACTATGGCCCCTAGCTGCCCTGCAGGTCTGGAATTGAAGCCACACCTGTGGTTTCCAGCTAAACAAAGTACAGGCATGTGAGTTAAACATTTACCTCAAGTAGACACACGCCCTGGAGAGAACAATCATGGGAGAAGGAAGGGCTGCTTATGCACAGGGAGACAGCTCAGGGCGCAGAAGAGTATGGAGGGATGGACACTGGGAGGAGGTAACTATGGGGAGGAAGTGGGAGGGGAGCTGTTGCATTGTAAATTTGGGTCAATGACATGAGACACAGTATATTATGTGAACTGCTGTATGAAAAGTGAATTTACTCTGCAAATCTTCACCCAAATCAAAATAAAATTAAAAAAAATAAAAAATAAAAATAAATGAAAAAAAAAAATTGTCTAGCCCTCTACACAGTTCACTGTGAGTTCACCAGCCGTATGTGATGACTTCAGATAAGGCAGTGGGGGCCCCATGCAGAGGGCACCCTGAACAGATCTCACGCTCCCTGGAATTGGGAGGGACCATGGATATGAGAACAAATGTAGTAAAAAATGCCAGTTGATTTCTTCAACTGCACGTCACTGGCAAAGTCAATAATGTGACACAAAAATGACCTGCACACCCAGTGAAACTAGGTAATTGGAAGGTAAATATGTAAGCCAGTAACATTCAAATGTTTTCCTCCAATAAAGGCCCAGGAACCCTAAGCACAGGCTGTGCATACACACATGTAACCATGTGTGTACAGACAAGCATGTGGTCGTGTGAGTACAGAAATGCAGGAGGACACGTGTAGACACGCATGTGGCCTTGCATGTACAGACACACATGAGGCTATGTGTGCACAAACCCGCACATATACACTTAAAAGGCAAGCAAATGGGCTTTGTTCTGGCCAGGCATCAACTTCAGAAACTGACCTGTGTAGCAGACTCCCCGGTGAGGAGATTGATTTCTTCGGGTTTGGGGACCATGTAGGTGGTAAGAGGACTTACGAGGTGCACCTGTTTCCCATCATGCCAGGGTAAGATCCCCGCATGATGGAGGAAGATGTAGGCGTACAGAGTCCCATTGTTCCTCGTTTTCTTTGGTACAGACACATTGACTGTCCTACAAGCAAACACATCATGTCAACCATGTACATGACATAGTCTGTGTCCAGACGCACTGTCCTAAAAGCACACACATCGTAATATCAACCGTGTACATGGCATAGTCTGTGTATAGACACACTGAATGTCCTAAAAGCACACACATCATAATGTCAACCACATACATGCATAGTCTGTGTTCAGACACTCTGACTGTCCTAGAAGCACACACATCATAATGTGAACCGTGTACATGGTATAGTCTGTGTACAGCACACTGACTGTCCTATAAGCAAACACATCATGATGTCAACCATGTACATGGTATAGTCTGTGTATAGCACACTGACTGTCCTAAAAGCACACACATCATAATGTCAACCGTGTACATGGTATAGACACACTGACTGTCAAAAGCAAACACATCATGATGTCAACCGTGTACATGGTACAGTCTGTGTATAGACACACTGAGTGACTTACAAGCAAACACATCAACCACATACATGGCATATTCTGTATACAGACACGCTGACTGTCCTATAAGCAAACAAATCATGACGTCAACCATGTACATGGCAGTCTGTGCACACACACAAAGCAGAAGCACGCAAACACTGCTACACCTAAGGCTGTTTCACACCAACCACCTGTAGCTCAGACACACTAAGAATGAAACTCATGAATGAAACTGCTGCTGACTCCTGAAAGCACGACATGGTGTTCACAGGGCCAGTGGTTTCTACTAACTCAAAACTGAAAAAGCAGAGCCAAGGCTCAGACCTGCCACCTGGCCCAGGTGCAGCCACCTTCCCAAGGAGGCTATGTTTACCCGACAGGAAACACTCGGAAACAGTGGGGGTAGGTTTTCGGGGTTTTGCTGATTTAAGTAAAGAAAAGATAGACTTCCCCGCCTCGGGTGCCTCCTGCCTGTGCAGGCATCACAGGGCCAAGCCAAGCAGAGCCCAGCTAGCTGGTGCCGCATGAGGGCAGAGACCGTGTGCTGGCCTCCATGCTCCGAAGCATGCTAGGTCCCCATGTAAACCACCACATTCCACCTGCTAAGACTACATGAGCTCTTCCTCCTCCCTGTTTAAAAATGTCAAAGCCAAAGTTCTAAGTAATTGTTGCTATCAGGAAAGACAAGACTCCTCAGCACCAAATAAAACCAGTGTCTCTCTCCCCCAGGCACCTCTGAGCAGCTTCCTGCCCCTCAGTGGGGACCATCGGGGGCAGTGTGCTGGGACCGTGCCTCATGCTGCACAGGAGCATCACTACTGCAGCAAACACTCTGCGACAGGCTCAGAGAGCATTTAAAGGAGATGGTATCATGAGCATGTCTTCTCATGAGCACTGATTTGGATGAAGGGAAGGGCAATGCACCGAAAGTGAGTGATCAACATAGTGGCACTGAGGAAGAGGAAGACACAGAGAGGTACCCAAAAGGTATAGACAATAAAGCTGAGCCCTTTAACATATGTAATACTACACTGTCAGTGACAACAAACAAACGTTTATCTATAGATTAATAGATGGGCAGACAGGCTGCATGATCAGGTACATCTAGGCAAACTTGGATACATCATGACCATATATAAGGTAGGCATATGATATTTCTACATACGTATTTGTACGTGCTATAAGAATGTCCAAATGTACAGTAGAGCTAACAAGGGGCAAAGTTATGATAACTTCTTGGCCACATACAACCACCCTGAGGGAGTGAGTAGTTGGACCTGTAGGCTCAGGACCATGGTTGCAGGGAACATCAAGCTCAATTGCCATAATACACTACAAAAAACACTGTTCTACATCCTACTGTGGTGAGTAGTGACTGGGGTCTTAAAAGCTTGCAAGCAGCCATCTAATATACAACAATGGGTCTCTCCTCATCCACAGTAAAGAAGAATGAAAAAAACCAAAGACACATGGAAACAATTAGTCTAAGGAACTAGAAGACCATGCGATCCTCAGCCTATATGACCATAAGACCAGAAGAACTAGATAGTGCCCGGCAACCACTGTCAACCACTCAGAAAGGGATCAGTGCCGGAAATCCTGAATAGAGTGGGAGAACAATGTGGAACAAAACTCAAAATCATAAAAGAAATCCCAGTTTACTGGTCTGATACACCTTGATGAGACCCCCTAGATTATGACCCCTAGCTACCCTTCAGTTCTGGAAGTGAACTCACTCCTGTGGCTTCCAGCCAAACGACAGACAGGCATATAGGGGGACCATTTATATTAGGTAGATACACTCCTTATAGTGATCAACTGTGGGTGAACAGAAGGACGGTGTTGGTACAGGGAGACAGCTCAGGGCAGGAATGCACAGGAAAGAAGGACACAGGGAAGAGGTAAATACAGGGAGGAAGTAGGAAGAGAATTGTTACATTGTGGGGAACTACAGTCCATGTCATGAGACAAAATATGTATGAACTGCTCTATGGAAAATGAATTTGCTCTGTAAACTTTAACCTAAATCACAACAAAAATTTTTTTAAAAAATAGAGCACTCCTTCTCTCCCGCCCGCATCTTTAGCAAGATAAGGCTAGGAGAAATGAAAACCTCACTATCTCAGTGCCTGGCACAGGAGGTAGAACTCAGGCCTATGAAATGAAACAGAACATTTTTTTAAAAGTGTGGACAGCGAAAAGCAAAAGTTGGAAGAGCCTGCATTTCCTGGAAGCTCAGAGAGGTCAGCTATTGGCCAAGGTTGCAGAGCCAAGATGGCCAAGCAGAAACTGGCCCTGCGGCCTGGGCCACGTGAAGCCTGTGTATTCTCCCCTCCCAGGTGCACCGTCTCTCTGGTACCCAAAGGGGACTAGGTGATGGGAGTATGTTTATTCCAGGCACAAAGTTACAAACTGTACTTACTAGCTTGTCTGATACCTCTCAGATAACACAGTCAAGAAGATAAGATCTTGAGAAGCAAATCACTTTTTAGGTATGTGTTGACTGTTTTATACATGGAACCACATGTTAACTGTAACTTTAGAAAGTACTCCACATACTCAGATATATTTTATGTTGTGTGACCCACGTTACATTTCACTCAATTATGATTTTCCGTTAGAACTCTTCTTTCTGTCCCCATCTCCTTCCCCTTGCAGGTAACTTAAGGGAGGAGGAGGTGACCACCACGAAACAGCAGCAGCTCTCTGTTCTCAACCAGGTCGTCCCCACCACGGCACCGGCTCTTTTAGAAACCCTCTGACTGGTGCTTGTCAGGCTGCAATCAAACACTGCACTTCTGACTTGGAGAATAAGCTTGAACAGCGCGTTCTTGTCACAGCCATTCCCTAAACGACAAATTCATCATCTGCCAAAAGCTCGTTTGTTTACACAGCACACACAGTTCTCCTGTTAAAACACACTCCTGCTTCTCCAAAGTCACCTCACTGTGAACACAAACAGCTTCAACAACAGTTCTCCCGGCTTCTCTGGTCACAGTAACCCCATCACCAACACTTCCACACTTAACCATACCTCTCAAATTTGGACTCCACGTCAAAGTCTTCCACGTTCAGTACCAGGTCGATGTTGTTCTCAGCACCAAGGTTGGACCTCGTGGTAGTGTACACACTCAGCTGGAAAGGGCCGAAAAAGGAAATTAGTTCTGCAAGGCCCCAGGTGGAAGACACCTACCAGTTACCCTGAGGACCAAGCGACCAGCCACTGAAAAGACTTCCTTTTGACTGGCAGAGACAGCAGATAACGGTTACATGGGCTGACAAGGTCTGGCTGAAGTTTTCAGCTAATGGGCACTGGGTAAAGGAAGTCTGGGGTGCCTCCTAATCAGGTGGTGAGAGGTACAGCCTGTGCTAGGCCATGATTCAAGCAGGGCCTTTAAGAAATGGGGTTTGGGAGAAGAGCCCCCAGCCCAATCTGGGGTCCCTGAACCCACGAGGGGAGCCCTAATGTAGTCCCAGGGTCACAACTAAGAGGAGGACCTCAGCCTAGCCTTGGGACACGGTTCAGGCGAAGAGTCCCGCAGCCCAGGATCTCTGCCCCCAAGAAGGGAGCCCTAATCCGGCTTCTGGGTCATGGCTCGGGGCTGGAGCCGCAGTCCCCGGGACACAGTTCGGGGAAGGGGTGCTCCAACCCACTTCCGGGGTCACGGCTTAGACGAAGATAGCTCCAGCCCAACCGTCAGTCACGGTGGAGGCAAGGGGAGTCCCAAGCCAGCCACGGGGTCACGCCCCAGGGGAGCCCAGCCCACAGCTCGGGAAACGGGAGCCGGAGAAGCGAGCTCGGGGGGCTAGGCTCGGGCACCAGCCAACAAAGTGAGCCGACAGTCCCCGGGCTCGGAGAGCGGCTGCGAGGCTCCGCCCGACGCTCACCTGCAGCTTGGGCCTCCGCGCCAGGTAGGGCTGGATGCAGTTGCCGTCGCCGGCGCACGGGCGGGTGTAGACGATGCCGTACATGACCCAGCAGGTGTGCACCACGTATACCACGAACACGCCCACGACCAGGCTCGTGAAGGAGCTGCGGCCGCTCCACATGGTGCCGCCGCCCCCAGCTCGGCTGAGGGACGCGCCGACCCCG